TCCAAGTCCAAGCTTCCACCTAGTTCCAGGTTGCCAGTGCCAGAAGGAAAAACAGTCCATTTCCCGAAGGTGCTCTCAGCATGTAGTATCCATCACCCCAACCCACCCCTCTCCCAGTACCAACACACACCCCCAGCGGCCCTGCTGTCCCACCACTGCCCAGAAGGGGGCAGCAAACAGGCCAAGAGAAGTCCCAGGTGATTCCCCACCACAACAGGGAGGGGAGGAAAGTGGCTGCCGGTCACCTACAGTGTTTCCCTGAAAATAAGACACTGTCTTATATTTCTTTTTTCTCAAGAAGACACACTAGGGCTTATTGTCAGGGGATGTCTTCTGCTCCGCACCGAGATGCATGGTGTGGCTATGCAGCGTATCTGCATAGGTCTTATTATCAGGGTAGGACTTATATTTAACAAATGCATAGAAATCCCGCTAGGGCTTATTTTTTGGGTAGGTCTTATTTTCAGGGAAACACGGTAGACAGGAAGTTCTGCCTAGTTTTCAGGAAAGAACTTACCTCCTACCTACCCGTTCATGCAGGAGGATACCCGCACCTGGCCACAAGTTTCAAAATTCACTATCCCTTTGTCTTTGTGAATTGGTTACAAGTAATAGAAGGCCCTGGTGTGAGGGAGGAAATATAATTTCTCCTCGACCCTCATAAGTCCATAGTTAGACCACACCTCTGTAACAACAGAGATAGTAATAAGAGAAAAACGGGCAAGTTTGTTGATGTGTGAAATGCTGGTCAAACAGGAGAAAGCTCCGTGAAAGGTAACTTACAGCAGTGGCTCAGGACTCTGGAGGACAGAGCACCTTCAACAAAGAGCAATACAGTCAGAGAAGTGACAAGACAAAGGAAGGCAGGTTAGGCCAGAAATTCTGGGATGGTAAATATATCAGAGGAAGTTAATGGAGTAAGGTTGGTTTGTAGATTCCTCTGGTGCTGTCGCTCAGCTAAAAGTTGTCTCCAATAAAGAATAAGCTATATCCTGTCTTTAGGCAGAAAGCATTAGTTTATAGAAACTGCTCTTCCTTCCTCTGTCGCTTAACTGCCTTAGTGCAAAAATACACAGGGTGCCCCAAACATGTATACACATTATGAGAAAGAAAAAAACTGTATTAAACTCGTAATACTCAAGTCATGTTTGGCTTCTGCAATATGTTGGGTATTACAATCTTTTTTTTTTTTGAGAGCCTCAGGCTGTCCCCCTGGGTAGAGTGCTGTGGCATCACAGCTCACAGCAACCTGCAACTCCTGGGCTCAAGCAAGTCTCCTGCCTCAGCCTCCCAAGTAGCTGGGACCACAGGCGCCCGCCACAACGCCCGTCTATTTTTTGGTTGCAGCCGTCATTGCTGTTTGGTGGGCCCGGGCTAGATTCAAACTCGCCACCTTATGTGTATGTGGCTGGCACCTTAGCCACTTGAGCCATAGGCGCTGAGCTGGGTATTACAATCTTAATAGTTTTTTCCTTTCTTACAATGTGTATACATGTTTTGGGCACCCTCTGCATTTATGTCAAAAAGGCATATTTTGGAGTGAAATATTCTGGTTTCCTTCAGTGGCTTAAAACCAGGATGCAGGGAAGGTGATGCCTGGGATGCACCTGGGCCTAGGGAATGGGCTGGAACCAGGGGTTATCACTTGTCATCTCAGCATCTCATGGGACAGCCCCTTTCTTGACTCGTCTGCAGACTGTGCTTTCCTGTTGCTCAGAATGGGAAGTGTGGCCAGAGCTGTGTGTGGAATGTACCTGTTCCAGGCCCAGCCAGCAGGGAGACATGAATTCCAGGGAAAGTGACTTGTTAGATCAGCTTGGCTTGGGTCTAGCACCTACCTTGGCACCAGTAAATGGTGACTGATGCAGGCAGAGTGCTAGTCACTGTGGGGCCCCTGGGAGACCCCCTGGGAGAGTCCCTAGAAGCTGGAAGATCCTCCCACATAGCCACTGGAATGAGTTTGGGTTTGCAAGGCCAGGTGTGCAGATCCTGCTCAGTATCCTTCCAGGGACCACAGCTGCAGCGGGGTACACTGCCCTGGTGGGGAGCACACAGCTATAACAGGCGATACTGGTTGAAGATCCTACCCCTGCCCCGCAGCACTCACCTCTCTGGTACTCTCAGTTTGATTGCCAACCGCAGATACTTGCAACTTGGCCTCCGGGAGCACGCTCTACACAGAACTGATGGGAAGGGGCAGTGGGGGTGACGGGCCTGACTTGTGACCCATACTGACTTCCAAGGCTCCTCCAGCAGGGGCCTGTGTCACTACACACCTTCCCTTCCCTGTCTTGCTCCCAGCTCCCTGCCAGGGTCACCTGGAATCACTGTACTGCTTTCTACCCCAAACCTCTGGGGACCCACCCCAAGACCCTTGTAGCCTTCATATTAAGCCAGGTTTCCCAAACGAGTGGGGAGGAGCCTCCAAAAGAAAGAGCACACACTTTTCCACTCAATTATACTTTTTTCTGCAAAAATAGAGCTCTTTATTTAAAAACCAATAAGTATTAAGACAATATTCAAATATGATATAAACATAGAACAAAATTAGAAATAAATACAGATATATAAGTACAGTACATAATCTTCTCCATACCCTAAAGAATTCACATGTTGCTTGAACCTAAGGCACGACTGACCGTCCACCTCAGGCCCCTCCTGAGTATGGAGCCCACCCTGTGCCACTCCCACCCAAGCCAAAGCCCCGCATGTGAAGGGGCTTTGTAAACAGTTAAGTGCCGAGCATGCAAGACAAATATATTGTCACGCCTTTCCCCAATGCTTTCCTAATGTTTCAATGTTCATGAAACTTTGAAAAAAAATTCTGTATGAAAATAACAAGGTTTAATAGAAATAAAGTGGGGATTTCATACAGGTCTAAGGCAATAGTGATGACAGCTTTCATTACTACTTTTTAAAAATTACCTCCATGAAGCAGCTCGGCTGGACTGTCCCTGAGCCAAAGCCTTCCCCAGCTCCAAGGTTTCCATTTGTTCTTCTTCTTCTGTGCTCAGTGGTGTGGACAAACTGAATTGCAGGGAGACCCCCTGGGGAGATGTGCACATTTGTATATGTGTGTGTGGATGTATGCTCATGTGTCGGGGCAGTGGCGAAGGCTTCCCATCCACTTAGTGACCCTTGGAAATCCTGGCTGACATCTTTGAACTTTGTTGATGTGGCCAAGAGGTCAGGGGTTGGCCTGGCCAAGCAGAAACGGAAGATCTCACCCTTGAGAACATGCACAAGAGTCATTAGGGCATTGCCGGCTGACCTTGGGCCAGTGCCTTTGCCACTCTGGACCTTGCTGCTTCATTTGAAACAAAATAGGTGTTCAGTTAAAAAAAAAAAAAACAGTTAGCTAACTTTTCCTTAGCTGTGGAATCTCACTAAACAAAACCTCCTTGCAAGGTCACTGTGTGCAGTGAGGCTGCTCTGGTTGAAATGGGGGGCCTGTAGCCCCCTGGTTCTCTCTTACAACTGAAACCCATGGCCTTTGGGGTACATAGTTTGAGAACCCCTGGGCCAAGATGCCTTAAGCTTTTCCAGGTCTGTCTTTTTTTTTTTTTGAGCCAGAGTTTCACTTTGTCGCCCTGGGTATAGTGCCATTGCATCACAGCTCACAGGAACCTTAAACTTGGACTAAGAAGATCCTTTCTTCACAAATGGAGAAACAGAAGTCCTGGCAGTTTACTTGGACACAGAGCCAAGTTTGTATAGATTCTTTGGCATGAAACAAACATCTCAGTCCTAAGGGTGAAAATTCAGCTTTGCTTGTCCATATACAGTGGGTACAGGTTAACTGAGGACACATTACCACCCCCAGGTAAGGAGTCACCTATATCCAGAAGACACTAGTTTCTCATAATTGGAAGGGAGAATGGGACTTCTAACCACAGCAGTCAACTGAAGGGTCTAAAGTGTTGTCCAAAACAGGAACTACAGGCCCTGAAGCCCAATCCCTGCCCAAGAAATCGGATCCCTGGAAGGGAGACCACTTGGTTCCTTCCTTGGGAGGTACATTTCTACGGCCAGGTAAAGAAGGACAGACCATGGTCCCCCTCGGCTGGGGCTTGGGCTTCTTAGAGCTCAGTCTCCTGACCAGGAGGAGGGCAGGGAGGGAGGAAGGAGGGAGGTAGACCACAGGTGAGATGAGCAGAAAGGCAACTGCTCCTTGTGGCTCTGGGTCACAGGTGGGAGACACCCAGGGCTTCCCTGAAGCCGAAACAGATGCAGAGTCCTACCAGCCCCCATGTAGAGAGGATCAGTGACATGGTGGCCTGTGCTGCACACACCTGGGATCTCTCTGAACCCACACCAGATCCTAGGTGGCAGCTGCAGATAAGGAAACTGAGGTACAGAGAAGGAAGGTGGCCTGCCCCAAATCATCCAGCTGGATTTGAACCCAGGTCTGTCGGACATTAAAAGCCATACAGTGCCATGACTCCAAAGACCAGGATATGAGTTACGACTGACCCTTCCTTTCCCCTCCTACACCCTCAGCCAACTAGATTTTTCTTTTCAGGGCCCACCCTAGGGGGTCCATCAACCAAGAGGCTGAGACCTGGGGGAAGGGAGCTCAACCATGCTGGGAAAGGCATGAACCCCAAATATCCAAAATGTGCCTCTGGCAGCCCCACCCCCACCTCCACAAATTCCAGATGGCCCCTTGCGGGTGTCAGCCTTTGACGCCTGCAGTGGCCTGGCCTCACTTGTTTCACATTGTCTAGAGAAGATTTTTCCATGGGGCCTGTTACACCAGGGACAGCAAGATGATGTGACACCCAACCAAACTCTGACCTCAGCTCCACCTCTTTTAGAGCTCAGCCTAAAGCAGGTGGGTCATAGGAAGGGCTGACAAACGGCCTCGAGGTGTGGGTCCCTGAAGTGCTGCAATGATCCTCTGCGACCTCCAGAAGGTACGTAGTCTCTCACGTTTCAGTGGTGTCTTCTTGAGTCATTGGGGGAGCCAGGAGCTACAACAGCAGCACCAGATTTGGTGGGAAGCTGGGGACAGCTCACCTGGCCACATAGTGGCCCAGCATCCTTTCCTTGGTCCTCAGAATGCTCTCAGTCTCCAAGGTGTCTGCAGAGCTGTCATCAACCTCTGATTCCCTTCCACCTTCATCATCTTCCTCCTCTTCCTCTTCCTCCTTAGGGCTGCTGCTGTCCCATTTGAGGGTCAGTGACCACAGTGAAACTGGGGGATCCCCAGGGACCAGATCCAGCACAGGGGACGAGGAGCCCCAGGTGGCCCAGGAGGAGAGGGCATCTTCTGGGAGCTCTTCCAGGTAACCTGAGTCCTTGGAGAATTCAGATGGTGGCAGGGCCTCCCCATGCCTGTCTTCCCTCGGCTCTCGGTCTGGCCCCTTTCTGGTCAAACAGCCAGAGGACCCGGCCTCATCCCAGAGGGAGGAGTCTGCAGTGCTGGCCCAACTTTGGTCTGAAGAGTCCCAGGCAGAGGAGCCTTTGCCCTGGACCAGAGGTGCCCAGGGCCTCCCTGAGTCTACCCCTTGTACCTTAGAGCACCCTGGCACCCAATGCCCTTGCCCTAGAAAAGGGGGAGGCTCAATGTAGGGCTGGAGAGTGACACTGCCCTCTGAGTCCTCCTCATCTTCCTCCTGGTTCTCATCACCATCCTTCTCTGATCCTGTTTGCAGAGTGGCTGGGGCCCTGACTCTAGAGGTCACCCTGGCCCTTCCAGCCAGCTCCTTTTGGGGACAGAGGACCAAGTCATTCAGGAACTCTGGTTCACTGGGTTGAAAGGCTTCCATGGGGTGTCTGTGTCCAGAAAAGTCCTGATTTGGGGCAGGGAGGGAAGAGCAGATAGTCAGGCTTTCCCGAGCACAGTTGTTTTAGTCCGAGTTCCTCTAGAAACCCACCTGAGACAAGGATTAGAGTGGAAGCAGTTTCTTTAGGGGCAAGCTGGGGACACCACAGGAAGGGGTATTGGGAGCAGCTGATGAGGGGTGTTACTAGGCACCTACAACAAGGGTGGCTGCTGCTGAATCCTGCTGGGGACTCAGGGGCCACCGGAGCACGTGCACAGCAGGGCCATCCCACGAGGGAGAGACATCTATCCACAGCTCCTGCTGGGGGACATAGGAGCCGGTGATGGTGCTAATTCCCTGCCATGTGCAGCCTCCCTTGTGCCTGGGCCAGAGGCAGCCCCCAGAGTGCAGCTGTGTTGGGGTCCAGTGGGGGTGCTCCTTAACGGGGAGGGTGAAGGGATGCAGCAGGGCACAGATATGTCTATCTGAGGTTGATTTCTGACAATTAGAGGGGTTCCCTCACAGGTCGTGGAGACAGGAAGCTTGAAAATGCTCCCTCTGACACTCAGAATCACCCTCAAAGCCCCTGTGCCCATGGAGGTGTCCACTGAGCCTCACCCAGGGCCAAGCTTCACTGGCTGCCCTCATCTGAGCAAGGTGACCCATCCAAACTCCCTGGCTGCCCTCTGCCCCAGCTGACCCCGAGGCCCTAAGTGAGCAAATTCCAAGGAGGACCTGGGCAAGTCTCAGCCTTGGTTAAACTGTGAACTGAGTGCTGGGGCCCTTCTAAGGCATCCCCCTTCCCCCTCTCCTCTGGGCATCCCTCCTGAGGTCCAAGGCCAGATCAGCACCTGACGGGATTCTTAGCAGAGGTGAAGTTATTTAAGGCTCCCCTTCCTCCCAGGCGTATTTGCTATTTTACTTGGTGCTAAATGAATGCGCTACCAGTGGTGGAAATTCAGACACAAAGACAGGAGACAGCCTGCCCTCTGGACTATGTGAACCACTGCTAACTCCGGCCCCACTCCCTTCCTCCCAACACCCCTCCTGCCCGCTGTACACCCCCACTTTGTCATACCAGAGCTTGCGGTGTCTTTTCCAGCTGAAACCAGGGGTTCTTCATGAGGCTCTTCCAGATCATAACCCCTATGACGATTGCTATCAGCCCAGGGAGAAGTGGTGGCAGCCCCAGCAATGTCCAGTTGGGTCCTAAGGAGGGAAAAACAGCAGTAAGTAGAGAAACAGCAACAGTGGCTCCTGTCCACCAACCACACAGGTGCTACACGTGCGCTTCACGTGTGCTGCCCAGTTGAATCCTCCTAAGAATAACCCAGCCTACAGATCGTGAAGACTCACTTAGGTGAGTTGCCCAGACATGCAATGGGCGTGGTAGAGCTGTGGTCAGCTGAGTCTATCTCTAATCTAATGCTCTTTACCACCACGTCAAGGAACTCCTGAGGCCAGAGGGAAAGTCCCCACTTCTACACCGCTTTGCACCCACCTGGGGCCCCCACGAGGAAGCAGGTGGGCTTAGAGAACTCGCTGTATTTGGAGACAATGAGGGTGTAGATGGTTCTGGCACTGAGGCAGTGGCGTTCGCTGGTGGCCGGCTGGAGGGGGATGTGGACTGGCTGGCCGTAGGGGGCGACTGGAAATAGAGTCTGGTTGGAGAAAGAAGCAGATAGGAGAGAGCTGCAGTGAGGGACAGTTCTGCACAGCGAGGACGAGGACGGGGGAGTTGGCAGGAAGTGTAGGGTTGTGATTCCCAAACCTTCTTTTCCTTTCCTGCATTCAAATTCAAGTGTTGAAGGAGCACTTCCCAACGCTACCTGATTTCTTTTCAGCCGAGTCTCGAGGTAGGGATGGCCAGAGTTCAAAGCAGCCTATCACTGGGAGTCATTCCCATGTATGTGTACCCGACCATGACCTGTAGGTCTCCACTCGGGGGGATAGATTCCTCGGGCTTCCCAGGCTATTGAGGAAGGGGTCATTCAGCCATCACAGGCGCAGAAAAGTCTACAGCTTCATTGGCCTTTTCAGTAGGCACTGGTCACATGGTCTCTGAGCACATGAGACACAGCTGGTGCAAACCGAGATGTGCTCTAAGTTCAAAACCCATGTCAGACTTCAAAGATGCAGTGGAAAAAATTGTAAAATATCTCAATGGTTTTATATCTTACATGATATTGGACGAAATAAAATCTGTTATTAAGATTAACTTCCCTTTTTACTTAATGTACAGGATTTAAAATTGCGTATGGGTCAAGTGCAGTGGCTCACGCAGGTAATCCCAGCCCCCTGAACGGGTTGAAGAGGGAGAATCACTTGAGCCCAGGCATTCCAGACAAGCCTGGGGCAATATAGTGAGCCATCTGTTTCTACAAAAGAAAAGAATTTAAAAATTAACTGGGAATGGCGACACATGCCTGTGGTCCCAGCTACTCAGGAGGCTGAAGCAAAGGGATCACTTGAGCTCAGGTGTTCGAGGTTGCAGTGAGCTTTGATCATGCCATTGCCCTCCAGCTGGGTGACAAAAAGACTTTTTCCTCAATAACTAACTAACTAACTAAATTAATCAATTAATTAAAAAAGCAAAGTGGTATATTTCTGTTGGGCAATGATGGTCTTGAATATTTGTGAGGTTTTTAAAGGGAGGAACCACACTGGATTCAGAACTATGGCCCTAGAATCCAGCACACACAGAAAATCAGGAGTGCTCAGGCTGGGTGCAGTGGCTCACGCCTGTCATCCCAGCACTTGGGAGGTTGAGGCAGGTGGATTGCCTGAGCTCACAGGTTCGAGACCAACCTGAGCAAGAGCGAGACCCCATCTCGAAAAATAGCTGGGCGTTGAGGCAGACTCCTGTAGTCCCAGCTACTTGGGAGGCTGAGGCAAGGCAATAACTTGAGCCCAAGAGTTAGAGGTTGCAGATGGAACAGCACTCAACTACTTGAGCCCAAGAGTTAGAGCTATGATGCCATGGCACTCTACCAACGACAACAAAGTGAGACTGTCTCAAAAGAAAAGAAAATCAGGAGTGCATGTGTTAGTTCAGTCATGCAGAAGCAAGAATGAATAAGACTCAGGGTCAGTAACTTACAGCCTGTGGGCCAAATCTGATCCACCACCTGTTTTTGGAACAGCTTTACTGGAACTCAGCAATGTGCATCCACAAGCGTGTTGGCGATGGCTGCTTTTGTGCTACTTTTGTGCTAGGTCTGCAAAGCTGAGTGGTCCTGAGAGACCACAGTGCCCCCACAGCCAGAAATATCTATGATCTGGGCCTTTGCAAAAAAAGTTTGCCAACTCTCACCATAGATAAAGAAATACAGGCCGGGTGTGGTGGCTAATGCCTGTAATCCTAGCTCTCTGGGAGGCCGAGACAGGTGGATTGCTGGATGTCAGGAGTTTGAGACCAGCCTGAGCAAGAGCAAGACCCCATCTCTAAAAATAGCCAGACGTTGAGGCAGACTCCTGTAGTCCCAGCTACTTGGGAGGCTGAGGCAAGGCAATAACTTAAGCCCAAGAATTGGAGGTTCCTGTGAGCTGTGATGACACAGCACTCTACGCAGGGTAACATAGTGAGACTGTCTCAAAAAACATAAAAAGATAAAGAAATACAGATACACACATGCATAACAGGAGTTATCTGTGGCATCTCTGGGTGCCTTTGGTTTGCTTCTTAAAGCTTATCTATATTTTCTGGCTTTTCTGTACTGAATTGGGTGACTTGGCAAGTAGGCCTCTCATAGCTCATCCTACTTCAATCAGATTTCATGAGGAAAAAAAGGAGAGGTTAATTTTAAAATATATATCCATAAAAAAAGGTAGAAAACTGCTATATTGTGGCACCCTGTGCAGGGTGCTCTGTCGGTACTTGATCTCTTTGGTGGACAAGGGCAGGGTGGGCCACAGGCCAGGCACACTGTGTGTAGGTTGGGGATGACTGCCAGAGTCAGGACTGTATGCTGGGAAGGCTTCCTGGAAGCAGTGTGAGTGCGGAGCAGCCTGGGGATGAGTGGGTGGGGTGCGCGAGGGGCCTAGCCTGGGGGCAGGAAAGGAGCTTGCCACCTTGTTTCTGGCCCCTTCCTTCCAGAAGGCCACCTCATAGTTCAGATCTGGTGGGGGCACGCAGGGGGGCAGCTGGTACGTGGCAGTGGCTCTCACCATCTCCTCCGTCAGATTCACCACCAGGACAGGCGGGGCTGGGTTCACTGCAGAAAAAGAAACAGAGTGGGGCCTTTCAGGACCCTTTGCCTCCCTCCAGGCCTAAGGGCTCCCCTAGAAAGGGAAAAGGAACACTGGTATGTGCCAACACCCTGGACGGCAAGTGCTTTATAGCCACTTAAGTCCGGCACTGACCCGAGGAGGAAGGTATCACTATTTCTCCTTTACAGAAGGCAAAACTAAAGCTGGGGAAGGTGAAAGGACCTGGCTGAGCTCGCAGTTGACCTGCCTTTACTTTTGCTGTCCCTACCACTTGGGTGCCCTCCACATGTCTCTGGCCAGGCAGAATCCTGCCCGTCTGAATCAGTTTCCTACTGCTGCCGTGGCCCATGACCACAAATGTAGCAGCTTAAAACAACACAAACTTAACTCCCCTGTAGTTCTCTAAATCAGAAGTCCAGGTGGGCTCAACTGGTTCCTCTGCTCTGGGTCTCACATCGGGAGCCACTGGGGGAATACGCTCCCCACTGTCAGCAGAACTCAGCTTTTTGTGGTTGTGGATGGAGGTTCCTGTTTCCTGCTGATTGCCAGTGGGAGCCTCTCCCAGCTCCTGAAATCACCTGCATTTCTCATCACGGTGCTCCCCCATCTTCAAACCAGAAATGGCACGACTGAGTCCTCCTCACATGTCAAATCTCTCTGACTTTTCCTCCTGCTCCATCCCTTCTGCCTCCAGTGGGAGAAAATTCTCTGCTTTTAGATTAGACTGGGGCCATCTGGGTAATCCAGAATAATCTCACTATTTTCAGGTCCACAGCTCAGTCTGCTTTCTGCTGCTATCATGGAATAACACACATTGGGTAATTTATAATAAACAGAAATTTGATGCACAGTTCTGGAGGCCCAGAAGTCCAAGGGCCTGATGCTGGCATCTGGTAAGGGCCTTCGTGCTGTGTCATCCCACGGCAGAAAGCAGAAGGATAGGAGAGGGCTAAACCTGCTTTTATGACAACCCGCTCTCATAACAAACCCACTCCCAAGACAATGACATAGTTCAACACGAGGGCAGACCCTTTATGGCCTAATCACCTCTTATCAATCCCACCTCCTAATACAATCACCATGGCAATTAAATTTCAACGTAAGTTTTGGAAGAGACATTCAAATCACAGCAGTCCATAATCTTAATTAAAATTCCTTTGCCAGTCCATAATAACATCTAACATATTCACAGGTTCCAGGAATTCGGGCAGAACATCTTTGGAGGGTCATTCTGCCTACCAGGATTCTCCCTCCGGTTCTCTCCAATTCATATCCCTTTCAAATGCAAAATACATTCACCCTATCCCAAGGTCCCCCAAGGCCTCATCTCATTACAGTGTCCAAAATCTTATCATTAATAGTATCTAAATCAGAATCAGATCAGACTTTGGCTATCATCTATTCAGTACAACTCCTGGGGCACAATTTCTCTCCATATGTGGGCCTAAAACTAAAGAATGAGTTATCTTTTCCTGACAGAATGGTGGGACAGGCATAGAATAACAGGTATGGGCAATCTCGCTCAAACGTGGGGAAACTGAAGGTGAAATGGAACAATGACCCAAAGCAATTTCAAAATCCAACCAAGAAAACTCCATCAAGTTTCAAAACCTGCTATTAACTCTTCCTGGCTCTTAGTTCTGAACTTTGAGCTTCTGGTTCCGCCCTCTGAGTCACCCTTCCTTTTTCTCTAAAGACAGCAGGTATTTAGGTTTTTTTTTTTTTTTTGAGACAGAGTCTCACTATGTCATCCTTGGTAGAGTGCCATGGCGTCACAGCTCACAGCAACCTCAAATTCTTGCGCTTAAGCAATTCTCTTGCCTCAGCCTCCCAAGTAGGTGGGACTACAGGCTCCCACTACAACGCCCAACTAGTTTTTTTGTTGCAGTTGTCATTGTTGTTTAGCTGGCCCGGGCTTGAACCTGCCAGCCTTGGTGTATGTGGTTGGCACCGTAACCTCTGTGCTACGGTCACTGAGCCCAGCTAAGTAGTTTTATCAGCCTGCATCTCACTAGTAGGGAATGGGAATCCCACAACCTTCTTTGATCTCAAATTCTGTGGTCCTTTTAGTTCAAACTGGCAATATTCCTGCAGATATAAAGTTCCCAAGAACTTTAGGGGTCTCCTATGGATATCACAGGATCTAATCCATTAGACAAAAGCCAGGTCTACAAATCTTTTTTTGGATAAGCCTTTCTCTACTTTTGGCTTCAATGCAGGCAGCTGAGGGACAATGCTCTTTTCCTATACGTCCCCTGGTTCACTGAGGGGCACTGGGAATCATATCCTTAAATCTTTTAATAAAGAGCCTTTCCTGTGACTGAATAGTTTGATCTTTTGATCCTTCCGGGGTAAAAGTATGGTATAAGTAAAAGATGGGATAATCACCCAGTTGGCTGTTTTTCTGCCACATTTTGGGAAGCAATCTCTTCATTTTAATGTCTTTTGCCATCTGGATAGGTTGAGAATTTCCCAAATCATCAAGCCCTGGTTCCTTTTTATTTAAGTTCTTCCCTCAATTTCTCTCTCTCCCCTTGCATTTGACTGTAAGCAGCAAGAAAAAACCAGGCTGTACCTTCAACACTGTGTCTGGACGTCTCAGATAAATCTTCAAGCTCTTTGCTTACAAGTTCTGCTTTCTGCATGCCTTCAGGGAACAATTCTGCTCAGCTTTCTGCCAGTATGTCTCAAAGACAACCCTTTCACTAGTTTTTTTATTTTATTATTATTTTATTATTTGGGATTCATCGAGGGTCCAAAGAATTAGCTTACACTGATTGCATTTGTTAGATAAAGTCCCTCTTATAATTGTGTCCTGCTCCCAAGAGGTGTGCCATATACTGTGACCCCATCCCCCTCCGTCCTCCCATCTCCCCACTTGCTCATTCCCCTACCCACCCTTGTATTAGCTCATCTACTGCCTTCATATTAGAATAGAATACATTGGATTTTTGCTTCTCCATTCTTGGGCTTGTGATGCTTTACTAAGTAGAATATGTTCCAACTCCATCCAGTTTAATATGAAAGATGTAAAGTCTCCATTTTTTTAGTGGCTGAATAGTATTCCATGGTTTATATATACCACAGCTTGTTAATCCATTCCTCGGTTGATGGGCATTTAGGCTATTTCCACATTTTGGTGATTGTAAATTGAGCTGCGATAAAGAGTCTAATGCAAATGTCCTTATGATAAAAGGATTTTTTCCCTCTGGGTAGATGTCTAGTAATGGGATTACAGGATCAAATAGGAGGTCTAATTTCAGTTCTTTGAGGATTCTCCATACTTCCTTTCACAAAGGTTGTATTAGTTTGCAGTCCCACCAACAATGTAAAAGTGTTTCCTTCTCTCCACATCCACATCAGCATCTTCCGCTTTGGGACTTTGTGATGTAGGCCCTTCTCACTGGGGTTAGGTGATATCATAGGGTAGTTTTGATTTGCATTTCTCTGATGATTAGGGATGATGAGCATTTTTTCATGTTTGTTAGCCATTCATCTGTCTTCTTTAGACTAGGTTCTATTCATCTCTCTTGCCCAGTGATATATGGGATCGGTGGGTCTTTTGTTGTTGATTAATTTCTCTATAGATCCTAGTTACCAAGTTTTTGTCTGATTTATAATATGCAAATATATTTTCCCACTCTGAAGCTTGTCTGTTTGCTTTGGTTGTTGTTTCCTTAGCTGTACAGAAGCTTTTCAGTTTAATTAAGTCCCACTTGTTTATTTTTGTTGTTGCAATTGCCATGGAAGTCTTTTTCATAAAATTGTTCCCCAGGGCAGTATCTTCAAGTGTTTTCCCCACACTTTCTTTGAGGATTTTTATTGGTTCATGCTCTACATTTAAATCTTTTATCCATCTTGAATCAAT